TATAATCTAGGGACTTGTCAGTATAATGTAGGAACTTGTTAGTATGATAGAGGGACTTGTCAGTACAATGTGGTGACATGTCAGTATAATGTAGGGACTTGTCAGTATAATGCAGGAACTTGTCAGTACAATGTAGGAACTTGTCAGTATAATGTAGGGACTTGTTAGTGTAATGTGGGGTCTTGTCAGTATGATGTAGGGACTTGTCAGTACAATGTGGGGACTTGTTAGTATAATGTAGGGACTTGTCAGTACAATGTAGGGACTTGTTAGTGTGATGCAGGGACTTGTCATTACAATGTAGGAACTTGTCAGTATGATGTAGGGACATGTCAGTATAATGTAGGGACTTGTCAGTACAATTTAGGGACTTGTTAGTGTGATGCAGGGACTTGTCATTACAGTGTAGGGACTTGTCGGTATAATGTAGGGACTTGTTAGTATGATGTAGGGACTTGTCAGAATAATGTAGTGACTTGTCGGTATGACGTAGGGACTTGTTAGTGTGATGTAGAGACTTGTCAGTATAATGTAGGGACTTGTCAGTAAAATGTAGGGACTTGTTATTATGATGTAGGAACTTGTCAGTATGATGCAGGGACTTGCCAGTACAATGTGGTGACATGTCAATATAATGTAGGGACTTGTCAGTATGATGCAGGGACTTGTCAATACAATGTGGTGACATGTTAGTATAATCTAGGGACTTGTCAGTATAATGTAGGAACTTGTCAGTATGATGCAGGGACTTGTCAATACAATGTGGTGACATGTCAGTATAATGTAGGGACTTGTCAGTATAATGTAGGAACTTGTTAGTGTAATGTGGGGACTTGTCAGTATGATGTAGGGACTTGTCAGTACAATGTGGTGACATGTCAGTATAATGTAGGGAATTGTTAGTGTAATGTAGGGACTTGTTAGTATGATGTAGGGACTTGTCAGAAGAATGTAGTGACTTGTCAGTATCATGTAGGAACTTGTCAGTATGACGTAGGGACTTGTCAGTACGATGTAGGGACTTGTCAGTACAATGTGGTGACATGTCAGTATAATGTAGGGACTTGTTAGTGTAATGTAGGGACTTGTTAGTATGATGTAGGGACTTGTCAGTATAATGTAGGGACTTGTCAGTAAAATGTAGGGACTTGTTATTATGATGTAGGAACTTGTCAGTATGATGCAGGGACTTGCCAGTACAATGTGGTGACATGTCAGTATAATGTAGGGACTTGTTATTATGATGTAGGAACTTGTCAGTATGATGCAGGGACTTGTCAGTATGATGCAGGGACGTGTCAGTACAATGTGGTGCCATGTCAGTATAATCTAGGGACTTGTCAGTATAATGTAGGAACTTGTTAGTATGATGCAGGGACTTGTCAGTACAATGTAGGAACTTGTCAGTATAATGTAGGGACTTGTTAGTGTAATGTGGGGTCTTGTCAGTATGATGTAGGGACTTGTCAATAGAATGTGGGGACTTGTTAGTATAATGTAGGGACTTGTCAGTACAATGTAGGGACTTGTTAGTGTGATGCAGGGACTTGTCATTACAATGTAGGAACTTGTCAGTATGATGTAGGGACATGTCAGTATAATGTAGGGACTTGTCAGTACAATTTAGGGACTTGTTAGTGTGATGTAGGGACTTGTCATTACAGTGTAGGGACTTGTCGGTATAATGTATGGACTTGTTAGTGTGATGTGGTGACATGTCAGTATAATGTAGGGACTTGTCAGTATAATGTAGGAGCTTGTCAGTATGATGCAGGGACTTGTCAGTACAATGTGGTGACATGTCAGTATAATGTAGGGACTTGTCAGTATAATGCAGGAACTTGTCAGTACAATGTAGGAACTTGTCAGTATAATGTAGGGACTTGTTAGTGTAATGTGGGGTCTTGTCAGTATGATGTAGGGACTTGTCAGTACAATGTGGGGACTTGTTAGTATAATGTAGGGACTTGTCAGTACAATGTAGGGACTTGTTAGTGTGATGCAGGGACTTGTCATTACAATGTAGGAACTTGTCAGTATGATGTAGGGACATGTCAGTATAATGTAGGGACTTGTCAGTACAATTTAGGGACTTGTTAGTGTGATGCAGGGACTTGTCATTACAGTGTAGGGACTTGTCGGTATAATGTATGGACTTGTTAGTGTGATGTAGGGACTTGTCAGTACAATGTAGGAACTTGTCAGTATGATGTAGGGACTTGTCAGTACGATGTAGGGACATGTCAGTATAATGTAGGGACTTGTCAGTATAATGTAGGGACGTGTTAGTGTAATGTAGGTCGACTTGTCAGTATAATGAAGGGACATGTCAGTATGATGTAGGGACTTGTTAGTATAATGTAGGGACTTGTCAGTACAATTAAGGGACTGATCAGGATAATGTAGGGACTTGTCAGTATGATGTAGGGACTTGTCGGTAAAATGTAGGGACTTGTTAGTACAATGTAGGGACTTTTCAGTATGATGTAGGGACTTGTCGGTATAATGTAGGGACTTGTTAGTATGATGTAGGGAGGTGTCAGTACAATGTAGGGACATGTCAATATAATTTCGGGACTTGTCAGTATAATGTAGGGACTTGTCGGTATGATGTAGGCATTTGTTAGTATGATGTAGGGACCTGTCGGTATGATGTAGGGACTTGTCAGTATGATGTAGGGACTTGTCAGTACAATGTAGGGACTTGTCGGTATGATGTAGGGACTTGTTAGTATGATGTAGGGACCTGTCGGTGTGATGTAGGGACTTGTCAGTATGATGTAGGGACTTGTCGGTATAATGTAGGGACTTGTCAGTACAATGTAGGGACTTGTCAGTATGATGTAGGGACTTGTCAGTATGATGTAGGGAGTTGTCGGTATAATGTAGGGACTTGTCAGTACGATGTAGGGACTTGTCGGTATAATGTAGGGATTTGTCAGTATGTTGTAGGGACTTGTCGGTATAATGTAGGGAGGTGTCAAAATGATGTAGGAACTTGTCAATATGATGTAGGGACTTGTCAATATGATGTAGGGACTTGTCGGTATAATGTAGGGACTTGTTAGTGTGATGCAGGGACTTGTCATTACAATGTAGGAACTTGTCAGTATGATGTAGGGACATGTCAGTATAATGTAGGGACTTGTCAGTACAATTTAGGGACTTGTTAGTGTGATGCAGGGACTTGTCATTACAGTGTAGGGACTTGTCGGTATAATGTATGGACTTGTTAGTGTGATGTAGGGACTTGTCAGTACAATGTAGGAACTTGTCAGTATGATGTAGGGACTTGTCAGTACGATGTAGGGACATGTCAGTATAATGTAGGGACTTGTCAGTATAATGTAGGGACGTGTTAGTGTAATGTAGGTCGACTTGTCAGTATAATGAAGGGACATGTCAGTATGATGTAGGGACTTGTTAGTATAATGTAGGGACTTGTCAGTACAATTAAGGGACTGATCAGGATAATGTAGGGACTTGTCAGTATGATGTAGGGACTTGTCGGTAAAATGTAGGGACTTGTTAGTACAATGTAGGGACTTTTCAGTATGATGTAGGGACTTGTCGGTATAATGTAGGGACTTGTTAGTATGATGTAGGGAGGTGTCAGTACAATGTAGGGACATGTCAATATAATTTCGGGACTTGTCAGTATAATGTAGGGACTTGTCGGTATGATGTAGGCATTTGTTAGTATGATGTAGGGACCTGTCGGTATGATGTAGGGACTTGTCAGTATGATGTAGGGACTTGTCAGTACAATGTAGGGACTTGTCGGTATGATGTAGGGACTTGTTAGTATGATGTAGGGACCTGTCGGTGTGATGTAGGGACTTGTCAGTATGATGTAGGGACTTGTCGGTATAATGTAGGGACTTGTCAGTACAATGTAGGGACTTGTCAGTATGATGTAGGGACTTGTCAGTATGATGTAGGGAGTTGTCGGTATAATGTAGGGACTTGTCAGTACGATGTAGGGACTTGTCGGTATAATGTAGGGATTTGTCAGTATGTTGTAGGGACTTGTCGGTATAATGTAGGGAGGTGTCAAAATGATGTAGGAACTTGTCAATATGATGTAGGGACTTGTCAATATGATGTAGGGACTTGTCGGTATAATGTAGGAACTTGTCAGTATAATGTAGTGACTTGTCAGTATAATGTCATCATGTCAATTCGGCGTAGGGCTGGGACGAGTAACTCGGGTACCCGTGTCGGGTGGGTACTGAGTAGAACCCGGGTACCCACAGGACTACCCGGGGCCCTGGTTAGTCACGTGACATATTGTTTAATGACAAAAGTATCTCTATGGTTACACTACAATGTTCGCATTTCTTTCTGAGTATGCACCCATTCCTTCTGACTGTTCATATGGCTGAATAAACATATAACTTAATTCAGTTTCAGTGTATGAATGACCAGATTGTTCAATACATGTATCTAAATACGTATTGCCAGGGCTATGCTAAAAATGTACCCGATCGGACATTTTGAGACATCTCCTGAGACCCAGTGGGTACCCGGGTATGGTCTGGTAGTAGGGGGTGGGTTCCTGGTAGTAGGGGGTGGGTGTCTGGTAGTAGGGGGTGGGTTCCTGGTAGTAGGGGGTGGGTGTCTGGTAGTAGGGGGTGGGTTCCTGGTAGTAGGGGGTGGGTTCCTGGTAGTAGGGGGTGGGTGCCTGGTAGTAGGGGGTGGGTTCCTGGTAGTAGGGGGTGGGTTCCTGGTAGTAGGGGTGGGTTCCTGGTAGTAGGGGGTGGGTTCCTGGTAGTAGGGGGTGGGTTCCTGGTAGTAGGGGGTGGGTTCCTGGTAGTAGGGGGTGGGTTCCCAGCCCTAGTACGGCGTGAATGTGCTGATGGTGCTGACAAATCCAGAATCAGAATCAGAATCTGGGATTCGAACCAACGACGCAACTCTGTCTAACAACACTTGGCCACACGTGACCGTCCTTACTGTGAGGTTAGTATTAGAAGAAATCATAAATTGCTTAACCAGACTTGGATAAAAGTATTTATTATATGCATATTTGATGACACTTCGCCTATAATCACAAGTGCATGACGGCACGGTCGCACTGAAGCAAATTATATATTCAAACACAAAATACAACGTGGAAGAGGAGGCGATGAAGTCGATCGTACACATTTGCATAAGGAGCAAGTCTTGGTGCAATAATGCAAATATATGTTCTGACAGGGAGCACATGTCCAGATGCACTTGCAAAAGAATCACTCACAAGAATTTAACATCGAGAGGTCATTCCGGCCTCGTCACGTCAATTAGCAGTTTTTTCCAGGAAGGTGAAGCGTGTTTCCTTGGTCTGCCATGAGTTCCGGCAAGTCTTTGGTAGCGGCACAGAGCAGGGGCCGACCTCACGCCACACTGGATGACACCTCGGGGGCGGGCCTCCGAGACCAGGGGTCCCAGGCCGGAAATGACGTCACGGGAGAGGTTGTCAGTGGCAACTGTCCTGGATATGGCAACCCGACTCCATAACTCATCGCTCTGAAACATTAATTCGTCGTAAAGCCGCTTTAAACATTGCCTTAAATTAGTCGCATGCTTCTTTCGTGAACACAATACTAGCGATTCTTGTGATTCGGTTTGAAACCAAACCGTCAGTTATTTTGAAAAATAATCGTGATGCCAGAAAAAAATACTGTGCAATTCTGTTTGTTTCGTTAGCGATTAGTTTCATCCGAGGACATAAAATAATCTATTTTATGGTCTCTGCTCCATTTTCCGGTGTCACCATTCGTGATATTGCTTGAATAGTCCTAACAGCGGCTTAATACCATACTCACTCACTCACTCACTCTGGTTTATCCAACATATTCACGGCAACTATCAAACCACAGTAATCATGCGTAATACAACAAAATGTCGCCAGATGTTTACCGTATTTGCTGATCTAGATGCGCCTTCTCTATTCTCTTGTCTTTGGCGCGCCTGTTCTGGAACCAGATCTTGATCTGTGTCTCCGTCAGGGTAAGTAACTCTGCCAGCTCCAGTCTGCGCGTGCGCGTGACATACTCCGCCCGCCTGTACTCGACCTCCAGGCGCAGCGTCTGCTCGCTGCTGAACGTCGTCCTCTGCCGTCGCGGACGCTGCTCTCGCCTCTTGCGACGTGGAACTGTAGATTATGAAATTACAAATAATCTTCACTTAAACAAACGAACTACTTGTAATATCAATAACGAATGTTGACAACCTACACCTACACATAAAGCTACATTGTTTCACACGCTATCTGTGAGCTGTCTATATCGAGTGAAGGGTCGGCGTTGATGTCCAGATACTGTTTCTGTACAGTCTGCATTCTCTTCCTCATCACGCGCCCCTCGATGTACAACACGTGTAGTAATGGTACTCCGTGACGGCGTCTATAGTTTTTCCCATGTAAAAACATAAAATGAGATATTCCGAGAGAAATACAAACAGTTACTGAAAAGGTTATGGCACCCTTAAGATTCTTTTGATTTAACATGACTTCCACAAAGTGTTTCACAATACGATTGCAGCAACAAATACTTGGTTTGTATTGTTCTTCTGTGGTGTTCATCACTTGGCAGTAATGTTTGCTACGGTTCGCCCGTAGGTTGTCAGACATCCCATTTGACCAGTCAAGTGTGACCTGTGATACGGCCTGGTCTTAGCTACTAATTACTGAGCTGGTATATACTGTGGGCAGAGTAAGCTACTCCAACTCGTTGAGTGATACAGATTAACCATATTATGATTGCGTTTGTAAGTTGCTTTGATCTGTGTCGGATTGCGTATGTTTTATTAGCAAAGACTTTGAATAAAACAAATTCCAATGATGTAGTATATAGGAAACTTGGCGAAGATTAATAAAAACCTTTTAACCGTTTAGTTTCTCCTGCATTATTTTCATTAAATACAAAGTTACGTAGAAAAAGAACACATTAAACAGATTAAACTCATATATTAAACTCGCTATAGGTACCGTACTATATTACATGGAGTCAGTAAGGTATGCCTATTCCATTTAGTAAACTGGAGATGAAATCAAAATCAAAGCCACCACAGCCTAAAGATGACAAGTCCAGTGGGATGCAAGTAAGATCGGTAGATGGCTATACTAAATGCGATCTCTTTAACTCTTAAAGCAACAACAGTAAGGTCTCGCCACCATGGCTGGTGTACGCAGAGTTGAGTACATAGAGTCTCAGAGAGGAACCCCACAAGTAGTTCTTGATGGGTTCACTTACTCCAAGAATCAAACCAGGGCCCAGACCACACACAGGAGATGTATCATGAAGACCTGCCGAGGGAACTGTTCCACTGTTGGGGACTTTCTTCAAGATGCCCCGGACTACTGCCATCCACCGACAGTTCAGACTGCTGTCAAGTTGTCAGTTCTATTAGGAAACAGGCCAGGCTAACTATGTCTGATCAGTGTAACATTTTCGCTATGTAAGTATCAATAGTAGTGAAATATTTTCCACATTAAAGTTAAATTCATACATCCTGTTAATAATTCAAAATGTGTGATTTCCGATGAACACTTCAAAATGTGTGATTTCTGGTGAATACTTCAAAATGTGTGATTTCTGGTATGATCTGATGATTAAAAGTGCATCATAAACTTATAATATGTGTTTTCTGGTCTGTTCCACTTTAATGAAAGGTAAACAGGAAACTATTGCTTGACAAACCAACCTTGACCAATCCTGGTATACGCTGTCTGACAAATGGGATGTCTGGCAATTAGGAGGTTACCTTGCTTCAGGGCGAGAATTGTGTGAATATTCATTTTATATAAAATTAATATGCCCATTCCCATATCTTAATAGCTTATTCATTCATGTAGTTATAACATGGGTTTAAATCTACGTTTAGGAAAATCGGGAATAACTCCATTTCATGATTGTGTATATGAAGCGTGAAAGACTCTTTTACCTTGGATATAGTCGGAATCGTACAATGGACTCCCCTGCATTAGCTCAGATGGAGGTATATACTATCTGACACAAAGGCCTAGCTTCATCTTCACGTGGGGCGGCGGGGTAGCCTAGTTGGTAAAGCGTTCACTCGTCACGCCGAAGACAAGGGTTCGATTCCCCACATGAGTACAACGTGTGAAGCCCATTTCTTGTGTCCCCACCATATTGCTGGAATATTGCTAAAAGCGGCGTAAAACAATACTCACTCACTCATCGTACATCTTAAACTGTCTGGCCGTGATATAGATGTGACACAGCCAAACGCGGCGTCACATCATACTCACTAACACAGAGGTGCAGTTAAACTCACTTCACAGTGACGAGACTGTAAGTCAGCAGAGTCAACATGTTAACTGAGAGTTGTGTCAAAAGCCTAACACCACTGTCTCGATTTACCATAACATTCACTGTGTTTACACCAGGTAGATATGTACATGAAGACTTGCAGATCATTGTACTTCTGACAAACTCATAAACTGCGTCACCCGTTGATGTACCAGCGTGTCTGCAAGTCGTCCCCTTGACGACGCCGTGCCTGTTCTCTTAATCCGTCATACTTTGTGTGAACATTCAATGAGAAACTAAATCATGTCCGGTCTCATTACCCGATCAAGACAAAAGCATCTCCGAAACTCCCCCGAAATGATTAACCCATTAACATTTGAATGTTATTGTTTCGACCGTGAGTATGGCATCATATGCGACATTTCCTACACTCTGAGCCCAATGTAAGCCATATGGTCAGTTAATCGAACATTTCAAACCTTTCATTCTAATTGATTATACATGCCCAAGTAAATATTTTACTACGTGCACGTTACTATCACAAGTAACAAGATAACAAGACATGTGTTCGTCAGAGACTGTCTTCAGTACAAATCAATGACCACGTCGTCTCGCCTGACTGAGTGGTATTAACAGTTAGGAAAGTGTTTAGTTTAATTTGCAAACTGGTGGCATCATAGAATCTACCTGGCATATGTGCGATGTCCTTAGGGCGGCTGGGCAACCTAGTGGTGACAGTTTTCATTCCGTAGGACGGAGTTTCCACACACAGGTGCAAGATATGAAGCAAGTTATGGTTCCCAACCAGGGACAATGCTACAAGACTCACACAATGCCCACTCACGCACTCTGCTGCCAAGGCTAAGTGTGATAATGCTGTCTACTTACTATATGACGGCGGTCCCTCGGGGAGGTAGAGCCCACGGAAGTCGAGGTGTGGGGTGAGGGGCGTCCCTGTCGCAGGCTCCAAGGTAGCGCCCTCCATTCCGGGGAGATAACCCATGAACAGGTTAGACAGCCGTATCCCCGGGGGTAGAGGCGAGGGTAGCGGGATTGGAGGGAGGGGTGGGGCGCTAGCGACAGGGGGCGTCCATCGAGCGGGCACAGCGTGGGTGCTCTTGGGCTCTACTTCTTTCTCAGAAGATGTCGTCATAGTGAGCGGTACCAGGTCCTCCTAGAATCTTCGTCTTCAGTATTGAACGTTTTACCTATATGAAAGTCTTCTCTGCTGATCTACGCCGTGGGCTGGTTGATGTGGCGCGCTTCTTCGTGGATTCCCATCACTGTGGCTGGAAATATCCTCAAGAAATAAAATCTGCAGGTTGCAAATGAAGTATTTCGGAACGATTTTAACTTTTCCAAGTTGTCGTCCCTAGGCTTAACACATGTCTCGATGTACCGTTCCTGTATGCTACGATACCGTTCTGGCACTCAGTGGAACTAACACTCCGGCTGCTAATGAAGATGCATGTAAAGTTCGGTTAATCCTGGGGCGGGTATGGAAAGCGCGGGAACGGCCGCGTGCAGGGGCACACGAGGCGTGAGACCAGATATGCTTTCTGTGATTTCTCCAAACTATCACTGGTTTTAATCAATGATTAAGTGCGGCCTCTAAACAACCGGCAATTGTCAGTGGATACATAAAAGAGTCGTTTTCTTCTCATTATTGTTAGCAAGCGGAGCAATTTCCTCCTCCACTAGCTTCATTATCACGCATGCGCGGTTCTCCTCGCTGCGCCCTAGGCCACAAAGAGGCAGGAAGAGCTCAGAGGAGACAGTTCCGATTAAATACATCTGAATTTCACAACACATTGGTGATAACTGTTATAACCAATAATTGCACGATTAACAGACTGGGGCTAGCCACACGTGCGGCAAGTAATAAGCTAATTGGTTTTAAATAATTCATCTCATCACTCCAATTCATGGGCGATCGCTTGACAAATTGGGTTGGCGTTTTTGCGGCGAGTCACGTGAGATACGTTTGCAAAAACCTCTTCTCTATATGCAACATCTCTGACTGTAGTAGGATGTGGCTGTCCAGGCATCATGATCAGTCGGAGAATTAATAATCTGTCTTATTCAGGAATTATTTATAGAGGCATAAGACAGGGATCTAATAGTACAGCGCTGTACCCGGAAGTGACAATTAATGAGAGAGTCCACGCGACCGCGCCATGGGCTCCCATACAGGAGCCGTGTGTACAACACAGCTGTGTCTGTCCACGATGAACACCTTGTGAAAACCTTGTAACTGGAGTTGACTCGATTCAGTCTAGAGACCAGCTGTGAGTGAGTGAGTGAGTGAGTGGCAGTTTTGGGACGCAATCATCATCGAACAAGAAAACAATTCCTCAAACTGTCATGTGATTTCTGCAAGAGCAAGTCGGTGCTTGCCTAAAACATTTTATTTGTCATTACAGAATCTCCCATGTCAAGTACATGTATATGTACATCTGACAAGTTCACAGTGTTCTATGTTGCTCTGAGGAGTTCGTTGTTCTTTCATGTGACGGTGTTACAGAAACATTGTTACATTGTCGGTTGTAACCATTTTTTTCTTTCGCATACTCACCATCAAAGTCAATTTAATAATTTTGTATGAAAGTCATACCACTGACGTTGGTTCACACTGCACATCGTGGAAGAGGCCAAGCCCCACCCCCAGCTTCTACTCATGTCCAGCTCACGCTCCGGGGTGAACCAGCGCCCCGCGCACCACTTCTTCGTGTGACTATTAATGTTAAAGCCATTTTCAGCATATCTGTTTTATAGCTTTCTTCGTGTACACATTCAACTGTTATTATATTGCGAAGTTGTTTCTCAGTGCCGGATATATACATCATTGTTTGGTTTCATTAGGGAACCCAGTGGGGTTAGAAATAATACATCGAGTACATATGAACACATGGACACATGTCCGCTTGAACACCTGAACATATGGCCACATTAACACATGTAGACAATAGCACATAGACGCGTGGACACCTGAACATATGGCCACATTAACACATGTAGACTATAACACATAGACGCGTGGACACCTGAACATATGGCCACATTAACACATGTAGACAATAGCACATAGACGCGTGGACACCTGAACATATGGCCACATTAACACATGTAGACAATAACACATAGACGCGTGGACACCTGAACATATGGCCACATTAACACATGTAGACTATAACACATAGACGCGTGGACACCTGAACATATGGCCACATTAACACATGTAGACTATAACACATAGACGCGCGGACACCCGAACACATGGCCACATTAACACATGTAGACTATAACACATAGACACGTGGACACCTGAACATATGGCCACATTAACACATGTTGACAATAACACATAGACACGTGGACACCTGAACATATGGCCACATTAACACATGTAGACAATAACACATAGACACGTGGACACCTGAACTTATGAAGACATGAATACATGGCTGATGGTCGGAATGATGAGGTATCATTCCATGTTTTTACACGGATGTATTCTTGAACGAAGATTAGATATGAAACACAACCAATGTGTCCAATGTATTCATTTTTCATACTCGCAAACAAATGAAACACAGTCGAGCCGATGTCGTAAGAATGTAAACAATAAACCCAGATGTTGTCCGTCCTCCTCTTCTGTAACAGACCGCCTCCGTGGGCTTGTGGTAGAACATCCGCCCGGAGAGTGGAAGGTCGTGGGTTCGATCAACGGCCGTGTCATACCAAAAGGCGTTGGAAAATGGTACTTGTTGTTACCTTGTCTGGCGCTCGGCATTAAGGGGCTAAAACAAGGACTGGTTGGCTTGGAGTCAGTATACTGTTTCTGAGTGGGGTATTCGTGTTAAGCCACACACACACACACACACACAAACACACACACACACACACAAACACACACACACATACACACACCACACCCCATCCCCCCCACCCCACCCCACCCACACACTCAACCACACACACACACACACACACACACACGCACGCACGCACGCACGCACGCACGCACGCACGCCCGCACGCACGCCCGCACGCACACACACACACACACACACACACACACTCAACCACCCCAACACCCACCCACCCCCCACCCCACCCCCCACCCCACCCTCTTAATTTGCATTATGTTAATGCATGTGCATGATAGAATGCAATCAAAGAGATTTATATCAGAAACATGTACACCTTACGCACCTTGTTGTCCGCCCAACATACACATGTACACATGTACACACGCTGGGAAATGTAATTGGAGCATAGAACGATTTCCACGTAGAAAACCGTAAACATTTTCAAAGTAATAAATTGCAAAGGGTGGCTAAAATGACACAAAAATGGATATTCGATATGATTGTTGCGTGTTGCAGTGTTCCGGCGACTGTCTTCGGCCTAGTTACGTTTTCTTATCGTAATGTTTTCGACAAATGCATTTTTTTCCAGCAGTTTAAGATGCTGATGACGTTTCGTTGCGTTCATTGCTTCATGTCTAACACTCCCGTAAATTACTTTTAGCAATACACACACACACACACACACACGCACACACACACACACACGCACGCACGCACGCACGCACGCACGCACGCACGCACGCACGCACGCACGCACGCACGCACGCACGCACGCACACACACACACACACACACACATGCACGATGCTATTTAAGAGCAATAATCTTGAACGCGACGTTAAACCCCATTTCACCTCACCTTATGTTATACTTTGGTTGTTAATTCTAAACAGATATTACCGTCTTCATCGGGGGACAAAGGTTTTCACATCCAAAGTGTGTCGTTTCTCAGTATTAAAAAAATATATAATATATAGTTTAATTCTGAGGTTTCGCTCAGAAAGTTGTGTTTCATGCAACTCGTCATTAAGTGACTAAGTTTGTCAAACTACATGCCTCCGAAGTTATGCGCAGATGAAAAATAGGCATTAGGTGTACTCAGGTGTTTCATAAATGATACTGAAATACATTTCGCTGTCCAATCCTTTGATGACTTAACAACTCTCATAACTATGTGTTAAAAGGTCTCCATTTCCAGGTATAATGCGAACTGACAGATTAAACAGAAAGACCACACCCTCAGTTGCATATCCAATTATGCTGAAATCGCTACATGTTTACCCGGGTCAGTGGATCAGTGGCGATATAACGACAAACTTCTCGGGCAATTTGCCACGGTTATGTCGTTACAGTTAGGCGCTTCTTCAAAGTAATAATCTCTACACATTACTGTTTGAATGATAAAACACTGCCAATATACTTTTGTAACATTTAACTTTTGGGTTGATTTTTTGGTCATGAGTCAATTTCATATTTTAAACGTTCTGATCGGGTTTATTTGAAATCATGTCGACTTTTGCCGAGCATGCGCTTCATTGGCTTCGTACAGAAATCACCTGGCTAAAACAAAGACGTGAGACGTCCCGAGTTATTGTCGTAAGCTTGGTTAATCCTGTTCACAATACGAGTCTTCCCATGCGCATGACAAAGGGGCTTAACACACGCCATTGACGGGGATCGAGCGCATGTCACGTGGCCTCTCTCACGCTGACGACGCCCCCTGGAGTGAAAAGTGTGCTATAACATGACGGGAGGTACGGTACTGTCGATCAACGTCTGTCAAATGATGTTTCTTCAAAGAAAACGTTGTAATTGCAAATTTACATGTATTATTTTGTTAATTGACATTGATTTTGTTTGTTTTTCTTTGTTTTGATGACTTTGAGGTATTCCTTCTAACAGGGTCTGCCGGGGAAGTGGAACCCAGTCCACCTGTCCTATGCGTGTCCTCTCGTCCACCACGTCATGAATAAACTCACAATAAATTAGTTTCAAAATACCTCATGATTGTTTGCCCCCAAATGTTAATGACGCACAGATGGACATTTTCCGATTGCTCGTTTAGAATGACGACGTAGATCAAAAATGTATGGATAACAACTTCTTCATTCAACTGTAATAGCGGCGTTTCGGTATAGATCGCTATTACAGAATTGAATAAGTAGTTTTTCATAATTTTATTTGTCTGCTTTGTCACCCGTCAACTTCTGCCTGTTAAACAATTAAATAGAAGTGTTGATGTTAAATAGAAGTGTTGATGTTGTTCCCTATAAATCCCTGTCCAAACAAACCATCCAATGTTCACTCACTGTTTGTAAGTCTATTTGCCTGTCTCTTGTTCTCCCCATGGGCCCTTCTGTATCCATCCGTACAACTGTTTTATAGTTTTGATATTACCCGTAGGAATAAGGATATCGCAGCAACTTTTTTGAGAGGCATTTAGAAGTTTGAGTACCAAGTATGGATAATATTTATGGATGAACAACTTCTTTATTATAATTAGGAGCGAGGTTTCGGTGTAGGTTCTAACACCGTTATCAAGTGATGTTGCTTGATAACAACAGAACAGAACAGACCCCGTTTCTACAAGAAAACATAAGGTCCCATAAAACATCTTGCCAGCACAATTACCAGGCTATAGAACTCTTCACATCTTCCGTAGTGGGCATACACACTACTGACTGACAATTGCGACATTCTGAAGCATGGTGCCGATGTCATATATAATTAACCTCGTTTGACAACACAAGTATATTTATGTTGTATTTCTTTCCAAGTAAGGGTAAATGATGCTTGATGGGCATTTCACGTCAGTCACCAACTG